AAAGAGAAGGTGTTTAGTTTGACTCCCTTTAAACGGGGTGCCTCAGCAACGCCCAAACGATCCCCAATCGAAGCGTGCGAACACGCGGCAGAAGCTTGTGAGGTCCGGAGCCGCTCCAGCACGCCCCGGCGCAGGTGCTTCGTTGATCCGATGAACATGTTTTTTCCCTTGAAACTAGTTAGAAGAAGACTCTAGACTCTTCTAGACCTAATAGCGATGGCCTCCCTAATAGCGATGGCCTCAAACCTAATAGCGACGGCCTCCAACCCAATAGCGATGGCCTCAAACCTAATAGCGATGGTACCGGTAAATAGCGATGAAAGGTCTCTGGGCCATTGGGCCGTTGGCTGGGTGGAAAAGGAGTAGGAGTAGAAAGACGCGAAGAGATTCAGTCGACCTGCTCAGAATTTTCATGACTCCACTTGCAGAGCCGGAGCCATGTTTGATTGTAGCTCTGAATACGTTCGGAAACTATCTTGAACCCAGAAATTGGCTTGGTTGGCTTTGGGAGGAGATCAAATCTTTTCCAACTCACTCACCTGCGAACCTGCGAGTTGTGCACCGGGAGTTCTGCGGCTTACTTCTGAGAGTTTGACAGCGAAGTGACACATGGCGTCAAGCAACTCTTTGTGCAGGGACTCGCCAACCCCGCGCTACTTGAACGTATGGGCCTCAGTTAGGGCAAGCTCTGGAGGCTTCTGTGAGGATAAGGGGGACGGTTAGAACTGCTCATGTAATGCGTCGTTCGCCCAACTCTCTTTTCCAGTCGCTTGGGTTGGGCTTGGATCGAGAGAGGATTGAGAACATCCGCACTGATCAGCTTCTGTATTTTCTGTGTAGCAAGAATCTAGTAGGTTGGAGGCGATCGCTAGTAGGTCGGAGGCCATTGCTACTAGTAACAAGAAGCCTAGATTATATATAGAGTGTGAGTGTGGGTGTGCCACTTGCCTGCCCAGTCCGTGAAAAACAGCTACGGTCACCTGGGTCCTGCTGGCACTGGTGCTGGGGGCGCCCAAAGCACCGTGCCGGTTCCCACCACCGGCACCCTCGCGCCGGGCTCGGGCCCAGTGCCCACTCCCACGGGGCCAGCTCGAGAGCCCAGCGGAAGGACCGGTGATGATTTGGTGGGTGGTGCTACAAATTCTCATGGTTTTCAAGGATGATCAGTGCTTGTAAACTAGCTGTGCCAGAACAGGCTTTATTGATCTTTTTTGACTACAACAAAGTACATTTTGGACGACCAGGTTGAACGACCTTCACAGATAGGAAGCAATGGAAGCATCACACTCCACCTGTGGAACTCTTGGGGACGTCGACAACTGGGCAGTGCTCAGGTGTTTCAAACCTCGATGGCTCCGGTCTATTCAAAAACGAGCCTTGCTCCAGGCAGGGAGGGAATCGTGAAACAGAGAAATTCAGCACATTCGAGCGGAATGTTGAGAAAAAGCGGAATAGCGATAATAGCGGGAGTTCTGTGTTGATTGGGAAGATCGTCGGAGGATGATCTATCTCCATTCAAACGACGGTGATTGTGACGTTATTGATTGCGATTTGCGCTTTGTGTGTCCAAACTTCCATGATTGCTCAATTATAACACATATTTTGTCAAGCTGCATTGATTATTTGGTCCAAACATTTGGCTTTCTTTGAAATGCGGAGGAGCACCTCACAGCCAGACCTTGCTGCATATCAAGCAGGCTGAACCGCTTGAGTAGCTACATTTTTGCTCTTTATTTGACTGTAGACTGTAGACTCTAGCCTTTACTGTGGAACAACAAGTGAACTGTAACAACAAGTGCTGCTCCCTCGGGCCTTTTGTTTGGAGCTGCTTTCAACGACAGTGAGTTTTTCAATTGCCAAGACCATGAGCCATGGTGAGCTCTTGCAGGTGCCCACGCCTTGCAAACTCCGCAGTCAGGCCACAGTGCTCAGAGATACTCTTTGCACATGAGAAACCGAGAAAGACAAAAGCAGGTGGCAGGTGGTAACTTTGAATGCCGAAGCTTATAGTGCTCAGAATGAAGCATTATGAGACTTGCAGATGCCGAGCCGGCACTGAGAGATCGAATCAAGACTCGTTGAATGCCACGATCGGTGGATCGAAGCTGAGGTCATTTCTTCTGCACTTCCGACCACCTTGGCGCCCAGCGGCTCTAGCTATATCACTTCCAAGGAGCCCGGCTCAACAGTTGACCTGAGTGAAGAAATCGAACACATTCGCTGAGTGAAGATATCGCTACTAGGAGCAAGGAACGCTACTAGTAGCTCGTGGCCCTACTAGGAGCAAAGGGCATCGCTACTAGGAGCAAGGAACGCTGAGCCTGTCATACCATGTCATACCCGCAGTTTAGCAACACTCCAGTCATCGCCAGTTCAGAAGTCCATTGCCGCTGGAAGAAATTCTTGCTGCTTCAACTTCGCATACAGACTCGATACCAATGGAGGGTACATATTGAGCTTGCTTACGTAAAGCAGCATGATGCTCGTGTAGATCCTTGGCTTTCTGGGTGGATAGTCAGCATCCCAAAAAGACATATGAACAAATATACTGACAAACGAAGGCCGCCAAAGCACCCAAGTTGCGTGCTGATGAATCAGCGCTGTTTGGACAAGTTTCGACGGGCTTCATTACGCCCTTTCATGTGCTTACCAGATTGAATCACTTGTAACCAAACCCGCTGAACTAGTTCATCTCATCTTGGAATGTGCAAATCCCAACCATCTGACAAGTTGGTCAATAGGTTTTGATCAGTGCTGGAGCTACACAAACCGTGCAGAACCCAAGGAAGAATACAAGTTCTCACAAAACTTGTAAAAAACAAAGAATGCCTGCAGGCCAGAAAAGACCAGCAGTGCCGTTCAAAAGGCAATGTTTTTGGAAGCATAGTGAATGCTACACATGCTGAATCCTGCAGGTAGAGACATTGAAGAGCTCGCTCGCTTGCTCGCTTGCTCGCTCTCTCTCTCTCTCTCTTCCTTGCTCTACCTTGCTGTTTTCTTTCTATAAAGTGCTGCTAGGACTCCGGAGGGAATTCCCTGTGCAGCACCATGAACCGCAACCAGGTGACAGTGGACTGATGGGGAACAGACAAACATGTACCGGTTCAAAAACTATGTTTACAAGAGTTGCTGCTATGGTGTGGGCAAGGCTTCAGCACCGATTAAACTGAACAGTTTCTTGTAGAAGCACCATCACCTTGATTTCATGCCTTTGTGTGACCTTGACCGATTGAAGATCTCGATTAGCTTGGGGCAAGCCCGACTGAGCTGTTAGTTGTTCCCTGCTATTGCGATTCTGCGCAGGTCAGCAAATCGGCCGCAGCGCCTGGGTGCCCAACAAACAAGTCGGCTGCACGATGTATCTCTATTGACTCTATTGGATGTTTTGTTAGAAAGGTTGCACATATTGTGAAGCCCGCTCGTGAACTCGCCCAATAAAGCAGCCTAGCGGCCTAGCGGCCTAGCAGCAGCAGTTGGCTGTGCTACTTCCTAGCCGCAAGCACATTTTAGACACTACTATACCATTCTGACCGAGAAAATATTGTCTTGAAGCAGAGGGGGGCCAGGGGCCAAGCAATCTTGTTATAACTCTCACGTGGAACACATGTTGTAGGTGTTCTTCCCCGACATAGAATTCCCTACTTCAAGACTTTTCGTCACGAGGACCCAAATCAATTCGCCTCCAAGCTGTGGCTACCACATCCCAGCGGTTCTACAGTTTGACCCGTGGAAACTGCGGGCGGCGCACAGGCCGGTGCCGGGTCAAAGCGCCCACTCGCCCGGCGACGCAGATCTCTTCGATCTGAACGTTCTCCGCGGGAGTTCCGAAGAGTTGAGAATCTACTACTAGTAAGGCACTTGTTACTACTAGCGTGGCACCTGTTACTACTAGCGAGGCACTTGTTACTACTAGCTTCTGATCTTGGAGGACAAAGGAGGAGCGATCGGACGCTACTAGTAGCAAAGGGCATCGCTACTAGGAACAAGAACGCTACTAGGGGCTCCTGGCCTTACTACTAGGAGCAATGTTTGCTAGTAGAAACAATAATATAGATGTTTCAGATGATTCAGATGATCATGTCCAGGTGTCAACTCAGACTTTCTGAAGGAAGACGTTTTTCTTTTTCCCCACACGGCCACACGAGGATCGGCAAGTGAATTCCCATCTGAGGCTTTTGGGCCCCGCACGGCAAACCTCCATGGACCTGGTGCGCCATCGTTGCAGTCACGACAAAGTAGAAACAAGTGCATCGCTACTAGGAACAAGTGCCTTACTAGTAGTAACAGGTGCCTTACTAGTAGTAACAAGAAGCTACTAGGAACAAGTGCCTTACTAGTAATAACAAAGAAGCTACTAGTTTCTAGTTCGTAGCTTCTTGTTACTAGAAGCGTCCTTGTTACTCCCAGTAAGGCACTTGTTCGTAGTAGCGATGCACTTGTTTCTACTAGTTCTTTTTAGGTTGTATATATATAATATCTATAGAGGCTGAAAGTGATCGTAGCCTCCGCAAACTTCTGTGACTTGGGCTGTTTCTAGCTGGGTGTGCAAGGATATGCAATGCAAAGCAACATTTAAGAACGAATAGTGATTTGTAAATTGAAACGCGGGTCTGTGCTTTGCTTGAACCATTGTTCAGGTACAGACAATTCAAATGACCTCAGCCGAACTGCAGGCAGGGATTCAGAACATACTTGAACACAACCTTTCTGCACTTGCACTTCAGTCATTGAAAAGCTCTGCAGATTGCCGCATGTGATGTGGCCTTTCTCTGAGGATTGCATGACGAAGCAGCAGCAGCAACAAATGCAGGACAAGGAGCAGGAGGCTGAAGTGAGGGAGTGTTCGGTCGCCTGATGCAATAATACCTGGGCAAAAGAAAGATCGATCGCGGACATATTTCCGACTCATGATGCAGAAGGAAGACGGATGGGCCTCAAACGTTCTCTATATAGATTTTCCATCACTTTCAATTTTGAGCATAGGCCAATCGACATGGCACATGATCACCTTGCGGCTGAAGGGGCTCAAGTTGGCTGCCATGGCCTTCTGTAGCACTCAGTATGCTTCAGGCGTCGCCTGCATTTGCTTCGTTGCAGTGCTTTGGACCTTCGCCACAGTGCTGAAGCAACTCATTTTCAGCGATCTGAATTACAATGAGCCGTTGGTCCTGACCTATGTCTGCAACGCTTGCTACGCGGTGCACTTCCCCTTGCACGGTCTCCTTCGAATGACAAAAGTGGTTTCTCCCATCCCCTGGAGAAGGGCTGAAGCTGAGGGAAGTGTCAAGAACGGGGAGGTGCGAGAAGCCATGCGGGGCGGACTGATCATCGCACCGTTGTGGTTCGCGGCACAATGGACCTACTCCGCTGGAGTGGCCTCCACGTCCGTGACGGCCTCCACGGTGATCTCGACCACGTCCGTGGTTTGGACACTACTTGCGAGCATTCTGTTCCTCAAAGAGAAAGTCACCGTTGTGAAGGCGAGCAAAACGATGCCCAAAACGCAGAACGCAAAATGAGGATGAACACAAAACATGTGGTTTCAGCCAGGCTCCGGTGGTATGTGTTTTGGCTTTACGGATGTGCACAGTCCACCCTTCAACACTTTGAACGGTGGGAAGCAGGTGGAATGACGGTGTTGATGCACCTGCCTTTGTTGCATCCCATTTGCAGTGCTTTTGTGCAATACATGGAATCCAAATAAGAATAAGAACCCTGACCCTAGCCCAGCCCTAGATATTAGCTACCTCCCACCGCTACAGGAACGTTTAGTTCATCTCTCGGAGTACCATGGAGCGCGCACGGAGTATTCACTTGATGTTGTGAGGCCTGTCTCTGCAAAGCCATGCACCATGTGTTGCATGTCGTGAAGCTTCTCAAGGGACCTCAAGGGTTTCATTTCCGAACTCCTTAAGGCAGTCACTGCACACTTGGTCCGTTTTTGGTGGACATAATCAATGCCAGGAGTCAGTCATCATGGGAGACATGGTTGATGAGAAGGTGTGCCGATGCATCGCCACATCGAGCACACGTCAAACACCCATAGAAGAATATTGCCATGTTAAATGGTTCCACAAACATATGGTTGGAAGCACGCATTCGTGTCTGAAGGTGCTGGGAATTATTTGCTGTATGGCTGGGAATGCAGCGACACTGCTTGGGAGCGACAAGCCCGATCAAAAGGGACAATTTTCGGGGGACCTGTTGTGCATCGTTGCAGCCATGCTCTATGCGGCCTACACCACGGTCCTGAGCCGTATTGTGCAACCAGACTTCTCCATGGCTATTTTGTTTGGCGTCATTGGCGTTGCCATCTTGGTGATCGGGGCGCCCCTGGTCTTTAGCCTGAAACAAGAGGCCCTTCGGAGGATGACGCCTGAGATATTCGGGCTTTTAATATTCAATGGAATTTTCGACAATGTCCTAAGCCAATTCTGCTGGGCGAAAGCGGTTCAATGGACCTCTCCAACCACTGCCACAGTCGGGCTCAGCTTGACCATCCCCTTAAGTATCCTGGCAGACCTGGTGCGCCAGAAACACCTTACGCCTTGGACGTATTTGGCGGCACTGCTGGTACTCTCAGGCTTTGTCGCTGTAACTTTGGCGTCAAGGCCCAGGGCTGCGGAAAGCTCTGCGCTCAGGGAGGACTGCGAAATCACAGGATCACAGAACATTTGATGGACGGTTGGGTCAAAAGCAGCCACCCCAAAACGGTTTAGTATGGTTTAGTGATATGATACCTAGGATCCGAAGGTTCGCAGCTTTTGGGTGTTTCCAGATTTGACCCGCAATCTTCAGCCTCACTTCAGCAATGCCGAAAGTGCATTGTACAGACGGCCTTTGGCTTGATGCCTTGGCCTGCCTTGGCTTGCCTCCACAAAAGCGGATGCTTGTTTTCGGTCCATCTCAAGCCTCGTGTTTGTTGGGTGTTTTTCTTTCTGGTCTTTTTGACAAGGTTGAATCCTGTTGAATCCAGAATCGAAATCTAGAAGTTTCTCGTTCAACCTTTCATTTTGTGCCGGTGCAAAACCTGGAGCTGACGAACTGTGAACTAATCCCATCAGCCAGTGCAGTCACCCAAAGAACGGCAGTGAAATGGACATAGATTTCCTCACAATGAGCAACTCCCTGGTCCCCTCCACAGATTTCCTCTTGGTTGGTGCCGCCAGAGACCACCCACAGCGCATGGAGACCAAAGACAACCAGTTTTACTTCCATCATCTAAGATCTACCAATCCAGTGCCTTGCGAAAATGCTTTCGGCCAGTTGCAGCTCACAAAAGTCAGGCCAATGCGAGCTGGGTTCGGGGGGGAACTTCGGACCTTCCGGGGGTCGTGGTCCGGACATCAACCCATCTGAAGACGAAGACGTATCTCATGCCGAAGACGTTTTGTTTCGTGGAGTGTCGAACGAAAGAAACTTGCTGAAGACATTTCTTGTGCCAAATTGCAGCTGCTTTGAATCCCATCTTCTCAGACTCCAAGAGGCTAAGGAAGTTTGAAGAAGCTTGAAGACAATGTTACTTGACTTGTTGGTAGCAGCATGCAACAAACACCAATGAGGAAGCAATTGGGGCCATCCTTTCAGAGACACGTCACACACCATGTATTCTCCAGTCCTTGCTTCTTGCCCCTGTCATCTCTCAATCCGTGCTGCAGTTTGGAAGAGAAAGACAAGGCTGTGGCCAAACTAGAGAGAGAGCTCCTGGAAAAGGAGGATGAACTGAACGAAATCAGGCGCGACCCGTGATGATTTCTGTCATCTGCTGCAGAGTTAGTTTCTTTCCTTAAGGGGGGGTAGGCCGTAGAGGAGGCAGTAGCTAGAGGTAGCTGGTAGAAGCCAGGTAGCTAGTAGCTTAAGTAGCTACTAGCATGCACGCAGGACAGCTCAAGCTTCCTTGAAGAAGCGCTTGCACTATTCATTTGATTCCTAGATCTTTAGGAAAACTTAAATCTCGCCTGGGATCATAGGGCATAGGGTGATGGGTCCAAACTCCCTATTGGAGTTGCATCGTAGTCTTTCGCAAAAATCACTGCAGCGTGAGCAGAAGGGAAAGTATAGATGTAAAACCATCGGTTTGCATGCCCTGATCCGCATAGAATTTTCACAAATTTGAACAGTCACTGTGAAGCTTTCTCAGTTGTGTGGCTCTTGGTGATTTATTGGCAACATGGCAGCTGAGAATAGCCAAAATCACAAAGTCTACACAAACATTCCAAGAGCCTGTGAGCCCGTTCTACGATTTTATTGTGATCTTCGCGCAGTTCTCAGATGCGAACCACAGAGTATGGCGTCCAAGTTCCTTTGGAAATCCAAAGTGCCCAAGATCACCCGTTTTTGGTGGTCTGGTGGTCTGGGACTCAGATAGAGGGTTCTAGTTCTAGGGAGCTTCCTCAGCTCGGTGAGGCTCTTGATATCCACGTGTTGCTTGGGAAAGCAGATACTGGTCCAACAGAAGTGGTTCGACATGGCCATCCATGAGAAGGATTCGACAAGGTCGACGGCTCAAGACACTGTGACCAACTGACCGAACACCCAAAGCTGCCGAGGGATAGTCCATTTGCTATGAGGGACATATCTCAAAGCTGCCGAACGTTTCGGGAAAAACGCACACACATATCGCAAGACATCCAATACTTCTTAGGTATATAGCTATGTAGCCTCTCATATCTGCCCCAGGGGTTGGTAACATTTCACAACTGACATTGTAGGACTGTTTTTTTCAGGACCACCTTCTTCATCTCATATCACATATCTTTACAGCCTTTTGCAGTGGACGGGCTGCGTGCCATGTCTGCCCTTTCGTTCTCTGCACCTTGGATGTGGGCAACGCCTGGATTCAGTTTCCCTCGGCATGAAACGTGCCATATGCCTTCACGCAGTTTCCCTAGCCACAGCCTCGCGCAAAGAGCAAATCGTGAGGCTGGGCGGATGGATTTTTGGAGATGAAGCAGACAAGCGGCTTCGTTTCTGTTTGTTTCCGGAATGATTTTCAGACATCAATTCCAAGACCTGCCCTACATCGGAGAGACCTGCCAGCTGCGCATTCATAGTGCCACTGAAACAATTTTGCACTCCATCCAAACCGCAAATGCACAGTGCATGTGCAGATCCTAGATGTCACACCCTTCAAAGAGGAACGCATGGACCTGTCTCCACCGGTGAATGTTGGAACCGGTCGGTGCCAGGCATCATCCGCTCTACGGTAGGACATTGACGCGGGAAGACTGGCCTGAGCTGTGTTCTGGATGCACGCGAGTCACATGAGAGTCAACAAAGCATGTACAGAATGTTTTGTAGACAAGGTTTACTGGATGTGTCCCATGGAATAGATGCAGTAATACATGCAGTGGGGCCATGTTGAGGGGTCACAGCGGTTCAGGCAAAATCGGACGTTTGCAAGGAAAACTATCCTCATTGGCGCAATCCCATATAACTTGGACTTTGCGGTCGTATAGCTTGAGGTTGATGATTGACCTATAGCCTATTGTCCAGTGCTTGCATTGCCCGTCTTGCCTCAAAGTAGAACGCCCCAAAACACAGAGGTAGAGGTGAGCCTGGGGCGCCACAGCTCATTGGCACAACCATCGCCATCCCCTCTTTTCCCCGTCGTTGGGGAAGTTTGCTGACCAATCTGGGATAAACATTGTAGATCCTCATAATCGATGAGATCCACCTACCTATTCCAGGGGTTTCTCTGGAAAAGACACAAACGAACACAGCAACATCCTTGAACCCATCTGTGGATTGCCATGTTGGCTTGATAGAAAGGGTGTGTATATATATATATACATTAACACGGAACTTGAGGCACAACTCACACACATTTAACGTGGCAGTTGGCAGGTCCACAAGCCTGGGGAATACCAGGATTCCAGCAGCGACTGGAAAGCAAACAAACATAGCATTGCAGGGAGTAGATGGATTCAAGGAAATTGAAATTGCATAATTAATGAAAGAATGGAGACGCAAAGCAAACAAACATAGACATGCAGGAAGTCACAGAAAGGCCAAGTAAAACGCGTCCTGCGATTCCATGTTTATTTCAAGTGGCCACCCTTCTCGAAGAGAAAAACCACGCTTTTCATGACGTGGTTTTTAACTATGAACACCGCGTGGCACACCAACATGGAACCCTCGGATGTAGATGAGGAAACTTGCAAACATAGCACCATTATATATATATATATTTTAAATATAATGTTATATTTTTTTGCCGCGCGTTAATCTTAACCGGAGTATATGTATATATCTAATTGGTGAAAGATTTGGGTCCGACCGAGGTCCCAGATCGTGACGAAGGCCCGACGCTTGCAACTGGGCAACCGCATTGCCTGCCTCATTGAAGGCTGAGCTCTGTTGAAAAGTAGGGAGCAGGTCTTAAACCCTTCTAGGTTGGAGGCCATCCCTATTAGGTTAGAGGCCATCTAGTAACAAGTGCATCGCTACTAGTAACAAGGGTATGACGACTACCTAGTTTCTTTGACGTGCTCCTCCAAAGAATCCCAAAGATTGAAGTTGAAAGAGGACAATCCTCCAGGATTTGTTTCCGTCATCCTTGTGTTCCAGTCATCCTTTGTTCTCTAAGCCCTGGCATCCTCCTGGCCCTCCTCCTCCCATCATTTTGTTCAGGTGAAGAAGATGTGGCCTCCAAGGAGTCGGCGTTTTGGGCCTTTGGCGCCGACGTCTTCAAGCTCACCTTCCGGACGCGGCGCCGGGACGCCCTGTGGTTCCCCAAGTCGGTGATCGCCGAGGGGCGCAACGCGCTCTTCGCGGCCGCGGCGCTGTGGGAGCTTCAGTTGGGACAACGTGCCCTTGAAGCAGTTTAGGCGAGCAGTATGCAAGGGCCTCCACTTATAGAAGTTGTAATTTCTGAGATCTTACTAGTAAGGGGTCAAAGTTGAGCGCAAGTAGCAAAAGGAAGGCCAACGGTAAGGGCCCATAGCCCAGTAAGGCCAGTTGTTCGACGGAGCAATGTGAATCCAAGACTACTTCTGCGGGTCCGTTTTTTTTCATCGAAACAACATGTGCGTTTCAAGTTTTGTGTTCTAGAGGTGTTTATAGGTTTTCATTGGTTTCCAAAGTCTGTTTCAAGAAGTGATCGATTTGTTCTAGAGGATAGTCCATAGAAGATCTAAGGTTACCTTTATTATGTCTTTGTGGACGCTGATGCTGATGTGGATGATTGGACGGCGGGCTGGCAAGATTTCGTTGATTTCCTTTTCGACTGGGAACCTGCAGTGGGTCTGCCGGAGTTGTTCGACTACAGCCAAGTTTTGGGCGAGTATCGACAGTCCGATTCGTCTGATGTGCGCAGTGTCCTTAACTTTGACCATACGGTCGTTGCTGTGCACTCGGATGCATCCCACTGGCTGCTGCCATATGTCATCGATCTTGATGATGATTGCCAATGGGTCTCCCAATGGAAGCTTGGCTTTTAGCCTGGTCGAAAAGCCAAGATCCACCTTCCCCCCAAAAGCCAGACTCTCTGGGCTTTGCTTCCTAACATTGCCATGTATGGGAATGAACATGAGCTTGGATCCTCGCCGAGGAGATTTTCCTCCCTGGCCAATGCATTATTTCCGGAGAATACGCTGTTGACGCACAAGCTGGTTGTGAAGAATCCGCACCATGCGTCCTACAGCAAATCTAGGTGGGGGTTGGCACTTGTGGAAGCATGCATTGCCTAAGAGATGCTAGGAGTATAGCTGCAGCATGCCAGTTCCAACAAGCACATAGGATGTCATGTCCTTGGGGAGTTTCAGCACTGACTTGACGTTCGAATCGTTCGAAGTCAATTCTGAGGTGTTTGGAGCTCATGCTGAGCGTGACCGACGAGCTTCGAGAAGATACAGACTTCAAGAGCTGTTTTGTGGAGCCTTCCAACAAGGAGACACATTTTTCTCAGTAGAGTTGTCAACTCTCATACTCAAGTGCAAGAGGACCTTTAATGTTAGTTCTTACGAGTCCTCAAATGAACTCGCCCAGCGGTGATGTGACTTTTTATGGAATGATGTGACTGAATGGCCAAGATGGACTTGATCCAACCATATTCAAACACAGCCGCATCAGCAAGTATCATGTCCATAGCCCTTTTTGGCAGGCTTTGGTGGTGGATGGCATGCCGCGTTTAACGGCGTACTTGCCCTGGTTTTCTCCCCGGAAGCGGGACACCCAAATGAACTACAGCGAGCCGCCACAGATGAAGAGCTGTGACCAGGAGCCAGTGGTCCAGGCCAGGCTGGGCGGTTCACTGATCACATGGGCGGGTTGAGGAGCTTGTGTTAGCTACTTCCAACCTATTAGCGATGGCCTTTTAGTGTGTTGTAGATGTCCAGAAGTCACTGGATTGATTCGTCTCATTTCTCTAGCCTTCTCCCACTCCTCTGTGAAAGACTGGTCCTTTGTTTTCATTGAGAGATGGAGGTCACTCTTGGCCTTGTGAGGCCATGAATGAAGATGAAACCTACTCTTGGTGTCGCGGCTGCCCCATAAGCGTGGCCTTCGCGGTATTGCAAACCATTGTGACTTCCAGGCGGTCGGGAAAGCTTTCTCCTTTTCTTTTTTTGGTGATTCCCTTTTGGTCACCACATACACACATACATGCCTGTGGCAGAATGCCTGCGAAAAGAGACACCCAGAAATGTCCATCACCTCGAGAGGCCTTTTGTCTTCACCGCCTGGCTGAAGCTTGCGAACCTCTTGGCCGTGGCCGCGGCAACACGAGAGGACTTGGTGGTCTCCCATGTGGCCCTGACGGTGGCCGGGCGGCTCCTGTGGTGTGCTGGTGGGGTGAAGGGCAGCGAGATCAACCCGGAGGATGGGGGACACCTCGGGATGACGGCAGGGTTGGAGCTGCTTTCTTGTAGAGAAGATGCAAAAACATGTTTCTCAACAAGAGGCACGACAATACCATGGCCTTCCATTGGCCTGTGCAATGATCATTTTGGAGGGTTTAGTAGATCATCCGCCTCCTACCTGTTGATGGAAGAAATCTTACACCTGGGTCACTGCAGTCTTGGAAAGCTCGACCTGTCACGGATCGGGCAGCCTCTTTAGCTGTATACCTCTCGCACTGCTTATTCAGACTGGAGTCTGGAGCACCTATTCCATCAGTTGAGTGGTCCGACCACAAAGAGGGCGCGAAAAGCCCACGTACTTTCCGACCTTTTGCACGCGACCTGCCTGACGTGGACCGGACTTAGCTCCGATGTGAAAGAGGATCGCCGATTCGGTTCCCTTTGTTCGTTCGGCCTGCTTGGAGGAGCTGAATCAGTTTTGGGAAGGACATCGGCAGTCACTGGTCGAACATTGGGCACCAAGAATATCATTAGCTGGGGAGATCGGGTGGGTATATTTGGTTGCTTTTGACAAACTTTGTCCATCCATGCCTCTCACATCCCCATGAATACACCCCAAAAACCGAGGTTTGGACGTGTTTGAATTCATGTGGCCAGAGAATATCGTTTCTCAATTTGGAAGCTCTGCATTGCCCAATGCAAACTGTCAAGCAGCTAGCCAGCTAGACACCATCTTCTGTAGCTTTCTCTTGGGTCAAGCACCTTTCGTCTCAACGTGAAAGAGCATTGTGAAGCCGCATTTTTTTCTGAAACTTAGTGTCCCTCTCACTGCCACTGGTTTCTTATTTTTTTCGGGCTTTCTTCCCCACGTGCCGTTTTCCCTCTATCGGGTGCCGAACATTTCGGCCATGTCATGCCGGCCAGAGCCGCTTTGAGGCTGGGGATCCACCTGGCGCCCACAGGGGAGACGATCGAAGAATTGGAGGACCTCATCATGAGCATGGGCGAAGGCAGGAAGGCTTGGTGGGGGTGGATCTCTTTTTTTAAAGGCCAGGTAGAACAGTTGGATGTCCATAAATTGTGTACCCACCATGGGGCCATGAGAAGAGGTATACAGGTTGGGGGTGTCCCATTAGCTGGTAGCAGTCAGTAAACAGTTATCACTATTTAGAGAAAGGCCTTTGCTAACCATCATCATCCACTGTTACATTGAATGGGATATGATATACCGTATACCAAATATATACTGTAGCATATATAGATAGACACATGTCAATGTGGTTGGTTCATGGACCTTTATCGAAGTGCCTTTTGCAAACCTAGTCCAATACGATTGTAGGTCAAGTTTCCCTAAACATCTAGGAACCAAATCATGAGTGCGAGCGCTTCTTCAAGGAAGCTCCCTGCATCCTAGCTAGGAGCTTCCTATTGCCAGTAGCGAACTAGTCGCCCTTAATTAAGTAGGCACTTACTTAATTGAGTAAGGAGGCCAGGCCGAGCGGGCTTAAAAACAGGTCGTGAGGCAATTCCATTTTTTGACCCAGTAGACTGGACAGTCCGAGGACCTTGGGATCTGAGTTGAGCCCGTCGTTTCACGCCCAGGTGTTGTGTACAACTCTGTGAGAGCAGCGTTGTCACCATTTGAAGGCACGATTTGGTGAGCGAGGAGCGTTTTCTGACAGGTTGCTGGTTTCCTGACCCAGTTTCAAGGCCAAGGTAAAGGACATAGTATTCCAAAGATTCATTTCAAGTACAAACGCATGCACTAAGCGTTGTACCAGACATGTGTCTCTAGCAATCCACCCTGCAGCTACACCCGAAGTGAAGCCTGCGATGATTTCAGAGGAGAACTTGCGGATTCTCGTTGGAGACAATAACATTGTGTCAGCCTTCACTCGCTTGTTTGACTCGTCGCCAATGTTAGTCCGTCATGGTCTTAGAGCTTGGAGCGGCCCCAAGGACTTTGGTGAACATTGTCAAATACTGCAATGAGCCTGAAGTGGGTTTGGTTCTCATTGATAAGCTGTGACAAAGAGCACAAGCGAGAAAAAGAAGAACTGCGCAAGCTGCGTGCGTAAGCAGTGTGGACACCAGATCAGGATGGGTTAGTGCAAAAGAAGATCAAATGGCATTCTCTTCGTGGATTGTGGATCTTCCAAGCTGATGTTTGTTGGTTGGAGGCTTTTGGTACTCCAACCCGAGACATTTGTGTTTGGGCTTGTCCTGCCACACACCCAGGTCATATGACCCTTTAGATGGTGGTCTGAACCGAACCGTCTCACCGCAAAAGCTACAAACTGAGTGAAGCCATCTTTCCTTAAACAATATTTTGACACGAAATGACATACTTGAACGTGTTTTGAGCGGGCTGTTGTTTGCAGGGCCATGACAGGGGTCAAAGACTTGTGCTGAGCGTTCCGAATAGATACAGCTTTGGAGTGCATAGCAGAAGATGAACTTGATGCTTCCCGCGCTGAATGATTCTTTGGCGAATTGATTGCTCGGCAGCAAGCAGCAAGCACCCTTTCTTCGGAGAGAAGCGATTTTGGCCATACCCATGCCTACCTGCCTTTTCAACCATACCAAGACCTTTCCACTGCACCTCCATGCGCAATAAAGTCATTAATTATATAAATCATCCGTGTGCAGGCACGACCGTGATGAGCAGGCATCCGTGCGTGCGGGGCTGGCTGCGGCCCGTGTCGAGCCTTTTGATTTCTTGTCTGAGGGGGATCATTCCGCACCATTGCCAAGATTGCCAAGCATATTCATGACACTTGGACCATGCATGGTGATTGAACTTGCACCGAACAGGCTGGCCGAAAAGAAGAAGAGGTGGCCGAGCGCGAGAAGACCATTCTGTCCCAGTCAAAGTGGTCACATCATGCATGCATGTGGATAAGATTGATCCAATCATTTCAATCAATGCTGACACACTTTCGAAAGGTTTACTACTCAAAGGTGGCAGGTTTTTTTGTATTCAATCCGCGAAAACTGAGGCACCTGCAGGCAAGGGTGGAATGCCTCGAGCAAGAGCATACTCAGAAGGACATCCTTTTTGGTCTTAGGTTTCGTTGAAGGGTGAATCACAACTCTTATGTCTTTGGTTGTGATTGAGCCATATCTTGAAGCTTTGCACAGGACGAGTGGTGCAGGAAGCGAGACGAGGCCGGCCTGCGCTCGTCAATTGAGTCAACTATTCACATGACTGGTGTGTCCTCGGTTTGCGGTTTGTATTATTCTCTTCAAGGCTGCTGGCTCCTGTGCTGGTCCAGCTGCCAACCCATCTTGCAAAGGAAAGCGCTCCTTGAGATGGTGGGGTAGTGGTAGGGCTAGTCTCCAGATCTACTTCAAACTCTCCAGATTTATGCCAAGGGCAGATTTATATACTCCAAACTAAACTCTCCGACTCCGGCTCATCTTTCGGACGGTGCCTCGCCAATCCCCAGGCTGCACGGAAGTTAGAGGGAACTCTGCGCAGCAAGGAAAGCAGCTTCGAGGCGCGGCCGACGTTTTTTCGTCGATTCGTCGGCGTGTCGACCGCAGTCGACGACGAATGCAGAGCCAAAGGGTGCCGCTGGTGGTGAAGAAAGTAAGTCACCATGAGGGCCTCGAAAAAATCGTCTTGACTCATGCTTCACAGGATCATTTTGCAGTGCTGCTGTGATATTGGGGAGTGTAGGCTTGCTGGTGGCTTGCTGATTTGCATGCCAGAGATCATCCATGTTTGAGCTTGTGTTGTGGTTTTAACATGTCAAGAGCTCTGTGAAACTCCAGATCAAAGACATCAAAGACACCTGCTTGGCGTGTATTTGTTGTTTTGTTGTTTTGCGTCCTTTGACCAGCGCGCTACAATCCCAAGGTCTTGCACATCGCTGACTTCTTACATTCACTCGATAGCGACACTTCGAAACTTGCTGGTCGCCTGTTTATGCAGGCACAACTTGCCAAGAAGGATCAGGAGCCGAAGCTCCGGGATGAGCTCAGTCAGCTCTCCATCTCTGATGTTTGTTGCCTTCTTGGGACCTTGTTTTCGGATTCGTTCGGAAGCGATCGAAGGAATCTGATTCATGTGTGCTACAAGTGGACACTGAGAAATCACGTGCTGCATCTCATGTGTCTCCGGTGCCACGAGTTCCAGGAGATCGACATGAAGAACCATGAGCTTCGGGAGCGTGAGAATGAGCTTCGGAAGAAGGACCATGAGATTGAGACCCTCAAGAAGCAGGTGCGAAAGGACGCTGCAAGGAACAAGGGCATCGCTACTAGGGGCTCCTGGCCGTACTACTAGGAGCAAGGAAGCTACTAGGAGCTTCAAGAAACTGTGGTGAAACACACCGGACCGACCTTGGTGCTTTTCGAAGCGGGCGGACGGAGAGACGGAGAGAGGTCCGAAAAGCGCGTCCGCCAGGTGCGCTCCCTCCAAGATCAGGTGCGGTTGAGCCAGGGCCGCCAGGGAAGAAGGAAGACCTCTGGGACCCGCCCTTCCAGGGAAGCCTCGAGGGTTCAGAAGATATGACAGATGGTCAAATTTAAGTGTTTCCTCAATCAACGAGTCAACGAGGGCATGTTTGTGGTGTCCTTCATAGGTCATAGGCGTACATGTGAGAGGGTGGCCAGAAGATTCGCCGTGGTACAATGGAGAGAATAATGCTGTTTGTAGTTTGGGTGTGCAAGGGTTTCATGGCAGGTCATCATTGACCGCCAGCATGTGGAGGACTGCAACGGTCTGCAAACAGTCGACGGTCAATGCTTTTGAAGCTGACAGAACGTTTGAAGCTGACAGCTGAAATATTACAAGCTGGCGTTACAAAGAGCTTCTGATGTTCGATGATTTCACCGACGTACAGCAATGGCAAAGACATCCTGAGTTTCTTTGCTCCCTCCTCCCTGTAGAACGACGGGGTGCGCAGGAGATGAGAAACACGAACTGCGCTTTGCTCCAGGTTGGCAGGGTGGGCAGTTCGGACGACTTCACAATTGTTGGTATGAAACGGTATGAATTGCTCCTGGATTCTTGTAATTGTAAAGGGTGCACATGCTTGTGTCTTTTTGGGCCATGCTTTGCAGAACAGGTTGCTCCGTTCTGCTCAACTTTGGCAACGTGAGAGAAACATTTGGTGGCACATAGACTGACATAGACTGACTGATTTCTGAGCTCAATCTGAGACGGTCCGTTTGAAAAAGCGCACTGCGGTGGTTTCAGATGCGCAAGGAGAGACAAGTTCGAGAAAGAGAGCTCCAGGCCCTTCAGGGCGC